ATTAAATAATAATCATGAATCGAATCGAATCGTGAAATCAAAATCGTGAATCGAATCAAATCGTGAGTTGAGTGAATCGTTACATCCCTATCAATAGTGACATTAAAACACATTTTAGGCTTAATATTAAGAAATGTGCATTGTGCACAAGTAGTACACCAAATAAAGTTTAATTAGAATTATTAAATCAGTAAGCCTTGAGCGACATGTCAGTAAATATGATAATAGATTTGAACTATACTAAGTATGAAATAAGTGCATTTTTTAAATGTATTACTTTTTTACTAAGGAATGCAAAAATGAAACTTTTGTCATTGATTATGCACCCCTATGTTTGTTTAAACTTTTCGTTTTCAATCAACTGCAAAACACAAACAAAGATATTTTTAATGAAAACAGAGATTTTTGCTCCATAAAAGTCTTCTGAAGAGATACAATTACTTTATATTCATACATGAAGACCTTTCTTCTACAATCTCTTTATGAACTTTTTCAAGTATGAAAGTTTTGATGAAATGGACTTTCTGTGGAGGAACAGAAATCTGTCAGGTTATATTAAAAATCTCTTAATTTGTGTTTGTAGATAAATTACAAATACACAATGCACAAAATAAATGATAATAAAAAAAAATAAAAAAACAATATAAAAAAACTTTATAATAAAAAAATACACAAATGTCATGCCAATAAATCAACTTGAACTTGAAAAACTTTAACTTTAAATTAAAGTCTTCTGGGATTGGATGCAATGATGTGAAGGTGAGCAAATGATGACAGAGTTTTTATTTTTAGGTGGATTAACCCTTTAAGTATTGAACACAGAAAAAATGACCAAATAATATACTGTATAGAATATAAAAATGTAAAACTTTGATGGCTTTATTAAAACGATTTTTGTAAAGTTTGACAAGTTACTTCTCACAGCTGCCTCTCAGCGGTTCAGCTGATATTTTCTCAGCATGTCCTGTACCTTCATGTTTTTAAAAATAGTTTGTGAGCAAAGCTACATTATAAAAGCCTCTGAGGTGCATCGAGCATAAATGCAGCTTGTATCTGTTTGATGTGAGCTCAAATTCCACGACACCACAGAACACCAACTGAATGTAAAGTGAGTTTACATTTTTACACCAACAAGTAATGACGCTGATGCTTAAATTTGTTATTGACTGAATAAGCTGAACTCACACTTTCCTCAAATAAGAGTTAACCAGCCCCAACACACTCAGCAAAAAGATGGAAAAAGTAACAACCTCACACCTCTTTGAGTGTGTGTGAATACTGTTGTAGTTTTTCCACGTGTGTGTGTGTGTGTGTGTGTGTGTGTGTGCACGTGTGTGTGTGTGTGTGT